GCTGAGGGGAGACGGGCTGCCGGGCGCGCGCCTGAGGGAGCCGGCCTGAGGAGCCAGGGGCCGGGCGGCCGGGGCTGAGGGGACAGGGACGGAGAGGGGGACGCGCTGGTCGCGAGCGGGACCCGGGGCTGAGGAAAAGTGGCCGCTGGACGAGGAGACCCGGGCTGGGCTGGCGGGTCCCGGACCAGAGAAGCGGGTGAGGGTGGCGAGGGGGACAGCCACCCGACCTGAGGGACCGCGGAGGAACCGGCTTCGTCCTGCATTTATTAAACATGATGATAATAATAATAATAAGTCCAGGTGGGAGACGGGAGGAGAGCGATTTGGAGGGAGGAAGCCGAGGCTCCTGTGAAGGGATTGGGAAGCCGGCGGGGAGGCCGGGGCCGGAGCCAGGCTGCCGGCCGGCGGGCGAGGCGAGGCCGAGGGGAGCCCAGGCCGGCCCCCGGCCCCGGGAAGCTGCGGGCGGCGGCCGTAGGAGCCCCTCCCCGCGCCCACTTGGCGGGGCTGGCGGCGCTTGTGGCTTCCGATGTCCCCTTTGAAGTCTCTGTGGTTATAATTTGGCTGTATTTTAGGCCCGGGAGCGATGAGCCGACTAATAATAAACTTCATTTCATGGAGCGTCGTTCAATCCAGCGCCTCACAAAGCGCTTTAGCGATCTTGTTAGTTACAGAATTAAAGGACGCCTCCGAGGTGCAGGCCGCGGGGACGGGGCTGCGGGCAGGACGGAGGTGGCATCTTCCTTGGGGGGCTGTCCCAGGTGAAGCCCCCCCCTAAAGCCCCCTCCGCCTGGGCCACCACCACACACACTCACAGGCACCCAGACCTGTGCCACCAAACCCTTAATTAACTCACGAAACAGCTGTCAGGAGAGCTGAGCGGAATTAAGGAGCGAGCTTGTGCCCTGACTGCTTGTTCAGTGCAGGCGAAGGGACGGTTGGGGCTTGGGAATGTCAAGCTCCCTCCGTGAATAATTTGATATAAAAATGTATCACTGTGCTGTCCAGCTACTTCCTAAGTATTACTTAGGGTTCTGTATTTATCCTGCAATATTTTTAGCTGGTAAGAAGACCTGTCGCGGGGACATTTGCTGCTTCCTCCTCCCTCCCATCTTTTCCTCCTCTAGACGTAGTCGCACAAAATCGTGCTGTCAGATTGCCTGGTTGTTAAAAATGACACTCTAAAAATTCCCCTTTTCTTGCCTAGGCCGTTTTAGCAGAGCTCTTGACTGTAAAGCGCAGTATGTATTATGGGACGTGGTAGAG